ATTGTGGGAAAATTCTACTACCAGTCCTTCATCACCTTACACGAAATAGGGTGAATGCATCTCATTTAACTTTTTGCTATTTCAAGCTCTGGCACTGCGAGCTCCCAGTTGGATCGGTGCGTTCTAGTCAGCCCCAGGAACTCACAAGTCCACGGTTCACATGAGACTCACGTTTCATAGAGAATTTTTATGCAATCTTGTCATGCATTCACTTCAACTCAACATCGTGAAAAGGGCTGTCACTTTCCTTTTTCAGCAAAACATAAATTGGGGTCATACACCTTGTATCTGTTGGTACGACCGCATTTTTCACCCCTTAGTCGTGATTTCCTGGCTCTCTCGCGGCAATCTTGTTTCGTTGACTTATCTTTATGTCCTTCTTCTCTGAGCTCATAATCCAAACCGGCCGACTGACCGATTCTCCCGGCTTCTGACATTCTGATCCTTCTCCCCTGCGTGAAGAGATGGATTGCATCCTCAAATGCATCGAACGAATGAGCATCCTCAAAAGTCCTTAAACCCACCACACCCTCTCACCCTTTGGCGAGGGCAAGTAAATTGCTGCTTTGCATCAGCAACTATCAGATTTCCACACAATTCTGAGGGCAGATTTGTCTCTGTGCCCCCATTTCCTTGAATAAAGCAGACGAGTCGGAAGAATTAGTCAGATTCACGAGGGGGCGCTCAGTTCAGCGCCGTGCTGGGTCAGGCTCTTAATTCCATCGCTCGGCTGGCTCAGTTGTCGGGTCACTTCGTCACTTCGCTTTTCACTCCTCGGACCGACAGAGCATCCTCTGGAGGAAACACAAGATTTCCGGAAACTGATCGGCCGGGATTCGATGTGGTAACCGCAGTCCACGAGACATATTCTCTCCTCAATTAGATCACAGGCGTCGTCAGAGAAGGCTCTCACTCTTCCGGCCCTAACGCACAAGCTATAGATTACTGACAGAATTGATAAAGCGCTAGTTTTCAGTAGAACAGAAAGATATCAAGTATCATTATAACGCAAAATTTTGAACAGCAAATAAATTACATTGTAGTGCCTTTTAATGATGCCAGATAAAGATAAAAGGCTACCAATTTTCGTGAACGATATAAGTGAAGGTATGGATACCAAGATGGTGTGAACTTTTGTAGGGTTGCAGTCTCCTTTCGTTGTATAGAAGTTTTTTGACCCTGTTTTCGCAACTTGGCCATATTGGCAGGAAGACCCAGAGGAACGCATCTAGTCCGTAGTCCATTGAATGCATGATCATTTTCAGAGTTGGACCAGGAACTAGGTACATTTCCTGATGTTTCGCCGGTATCGTCAATGAGTCTTGTCATTTTTAGCACCACAATACAACTTGTCATAGAGACAAGTAAAATCGATCCCTTGACCAATTGTCAGCTAAACAATTGTGCTATCTCTCCTTCTGCCTTGGACTATTCACCAATCCTATATTCTCGTATAACTCCTTCAATATCACAATTTCTCATTTAAATGTGGTATTGCGTGACCTTTTAACGGATGTCATGATCACTCTCCAAACCCTATGTTGGCTTTCTCAACCCCTCACCTCGCAATACTCTTCCCATATGTCTTGTCAGAGTCTTCCTCCTGAACCATATGATCTGCCTCCTACCTTATCGTTCACGTATTATACTCGATCCCCACAACCTTATCTGTACTACTCGAAGCATTATTTCTCACAAGGTCTCAAGACTTTGATGGCACATATACTGTGCTTCGCTGAGTAGGACCCTAAAAATCAGCATTCTCAAGCTGTATTGGAGCCTAAGTTGAGGCTAAAGAGTCCGAGT